TTATTAAATATTAATAATGAACCATATTACAGAAATGAAGCACGGAAAGAAAGGTTTTAATTTCGAAATTTTCGGACATGTGTGTGTCCTTCAACAAAGGACCCAGTAATAAACAGAGAAATGGGAATTACTCACCGACAGATGTTTTTTTGTAAATGTATTCTCCAGTGGAAATCGTATTGTTAGCAAAAACCCGAGCACAGTGTGATTCCTCGATGTGGGAATCTTTTCATGAAAATAAACTTAAATTTAAAATTTTTATCGGTATAAAATCATCAGGTCTCTTATTATTAGTGTACTAATGTGTTGTCGCGAAAATAAAATTGTAAAAAAAATAATGAATATATATATATATATATATATATATATTATTTTTTTAAAAAAATTATAACATGTATGTTATAAAATCACTACAAAAAATAGCCATTTTGTTTCAAACTTAACTCTGTGTCTTATCAAGTGATGATGTTGAAAATAAAATAAATGGTTTTAAAAGTTTCAGATTACTTAACGATCCTACACTAGGGGGAAACATTGTTAAAAAGCTAGAATAACCAATCAAAAACAAAGTATAGAAAGATTCAAAAGCTTGACAACGAAATCATGTTATATCAGGAGGAAGTACAAGATTTTCAACCGAAATCATTAAATTTACTTCCAAAATATTTTGGTATGCTGCAGCATTCATTCTACAATCTATTACTGATATGTTGCCAATACATTTTGCAGAAAAAAAACATCCCCCAAATCAAGATACTGCCAACACCAAATTTCACTGTTGGAAGTGTGTTCTTTTGTTTGAAGGCATTGCCATCTCTCCTCCTCCATACATGATTTCTAGAATTACGTCCAAACAACTCAAATTTGGTTTCGTCTGTCCATAATACTGTTTCCAATACGATTCTTCCTCATTCTTATGTTCACGAACGAACCTGGCATCTCTGTGTCTTTTCAATAGCAGTGGCGTTTTCCAAGCAGAGCATGACTTTAGATTGTTCCAATGAATTTCATTGCTTATTTTCCGTTTAGTGACACAGATTCCTGATGAAAGTAAGTCATCCTGAAACTCTTGACGAGTAACCATTCGTTTTTTTTTAATTTGACACATTAATTTTCTCGAAGATCTTGAAGAAATCTTCTGTAGAGCATCTGTTCTTCTTTGGTTTTCAACAGTTTTGAGTTTTTATGCACCTTACAATGAATGAATTAATGATGGTAAATGGAATATTCAGGTTGTTTGAAATTTTCCTGTAATTTTTACTTTCTTTCCAGCACTTAACAATCAGTTCTTTTTTGAATTTGTCAATTCTTTACCTCTTTTGAAAAATTTTTTAAAACGAATATCAATTATAGAATATTCTGTTTGTATTTTTAGGCTAAAATAATTTGAAACTGATAACATTATTGGAATATTCTAGAATATTCCATTTGAATAATCTAGAGTATTAAAGCAATTTAAAAGTTTTAAAATCGGAAATTTTTTGTTTTTTTTTGTACGAAGAATTTTTTCTTTAAAATTAAAATGAATAAATAGGATTTATTTCTATTCAAATTTTACTATTTATTTAAAATTATGCATCTGTCTAGTTCTCTCCTTGTTTAAATCGGTTTGCGCTCTCCCTCGCTTTATATCATTTTATCTCTCGATCTTATTTTTCTCTATGTATCTCTCTCTCTCCTATTGTTATATTCATCTATTATACGCCTCTTTCTCTTATTTTTAAATATCGGATATTTGAATTTTTTCACATTTCCTTCCCTCTCTTTATATCTTTATATCCTCTCTATTCAATATATCCCGATTATCCCTAACCTTTATATCTACGTAAATCGCTCGTTACATATATATAGAACTCTGGATTATGTCTCTATCATTTTTTATCGCTCTCCATCTCTCTCTTTATATCGCTCTCTACCTTTCTCTCGTATATATATATATATATATATATATATATTGGTTTAACCGTGTCTCTCCTGCCCTCTAAGTGTGTGTATGAATGTGTGTGTTTGTGTCCCTTCTTTAAATTTGGGGGGCTCTTAAAACAATGTTTCTCAATTTGTGTCTTACTCTAATTTGTGCGTGCGTCTGGCTCTGTCAGTTTTGTTTTAGTCCCTCTCTCATTCTGTCAGTTTTATGTGCGTCTCTCTCTCGTTTTCTGTGAGTTTTATGTGTGTGTTTTTAATTGATTTCTGAAGAGTTTTGTGCGTTTGGTCCTCCCTGAGTCTTTGTGGTGCCAAGTAAAGTGCTTCTCTAAAATAAACATGTAGTGTGTGTCTCTCTCTCTGGCTGTCTGTCAGTCTTTGCATCTTTTTTGCGTGTCTCTCCTGCACTGTGAGTCTTAGTGTGTCTCGCTCTGTATGTCTCTGAGTCTTTGTATATGATTTCTCTCTCTCTCTCTCTCTCTCTATCAATTCAACGTGCTCGTGCGCGTATTTCTCTATGGAGAATTTCTTGTGTATTTGTGTCACTCTGTGTCTTTGTGTGAGGTCTCGCTCCCTGAGTCTATGATACCAAAATTCTATCAAGCATAAAAATTTTTATTATTATTGATCTGCAAAATAGTTGACAGAACGATAACTTTTAGTTAGGTACCTCCACGAGATCGTTTAAAAAAGAGCATAACATGATGAAAAAGTCGCCAAACTTGACGAAAACAAAATTTTGTCGTCTAAATGTTTATGTTATTAAGAGGAAAGATCAAAGTATTTTGGGGATACTTTTTACATTTTTAATCGTGCCTAGCACGTCCGAAATTTTCGTTAAAAATCTCGTTTTTTGGAGTCAGCAATTTTTTTTCCCACTTTATAAAAAAAATGAAAATCTCAGTTTGAAAATCTTTTAAAAATCAAGTATCATTTTTTCAAAACTTATTTTAAGAAAATCAGAAATTATAATGTTTATTTAAAATATTTTGAACCGAGCTTAACTTAGCTTCTGCGCCGAAAAGATGTAATTTGAAAATAAAACAAAGCAGTTTCGTGTCACTTGACAGGTGATGAATGACATATTGACGGATTACCTGAGGATAATTCCTTCTACGGAAGGAGAGAAGTGAAGTTATTTACATTTAAGTGAACAAATTATTTACCTTGTTATTTTTAAGGAAAACTTTCAGCCCTCTATTTTTTTTTTTTTTTTTTTTTGTATTTAGCTTTTACCTTTTACCTTTTACGATGCTTTATGGAAAATATATTATAAAGAAATTAAAATAAGGAATCTTCATAAAAAAAGGTATCTAATTAATTTCTAGGTTCCTTTCTTATGAAATTTTATCAGAAGTCTACATAAAATACTATAATTTTATGTACATTTATTACATTTTACTCTGTTATTTGTATTTACATTCATTTTATTATTAATTTTGATATTTCATTTATGGAAAATGTTATAACTGAGATTAATATAAAAATAAGCTGATATAAATTTCATAAGATGTTACTTACTTGTAGGTACCTTTCTCAGTTGAAATTGAAAAATCAAATTAACTTCTCCACACGTTTTTCGCAAAAGTAAAGGCCTTAACAGCGGAGAACAATGCTTAACTCAAATAACGCAACTTAATTGTATTCTGGTTGGTCTTCCGTACTTTATAATTACAGCCTGATTATAAACACAAATTTACATTTCTTAATTACTGCGGGTCTTCTGATTAGTCAAAATGATACAATTTACAACGCGCTGAAAAATGATCTATCTCATAAGGACACTTCCGAAAGTGGATGCAGCTTTTAACTAATTTTATATTTTAAATATTTTAACAACTTAAATGTAAAAATCTATTATAATTAAAGAAATAACAAATAATTGTATTAAAAATTCATTTTTCATCGAAAAAAATTTTTGCTTTCTCAAAACATTGCTCATATGTTTTGAGAAAGCAAAAAATTTTTTCGATGAAATAAAACAAACGAAAAAATGTTCTTGCAATTAGAAATCTCATTATTTTTCATACATAATACATAAATGAAAAAGAACCCACATGCATACAGTACAAAAAAACAAATATTGTTTAATAATACGGAATTAGGTTTAAACTCTAACTAAAAAAATTTTCTCTTTGTATCATCGGAACTAGTAAAATAACATACAATTTTTAGCACGTTTTTTTTTTGTATGACACACATTAGTTTGGAAAATCTTTCAAAAATAAAAATAATTGTCGGATATTAATGAAACTTTCAGAAACTATTCATAGATGATAGAAATTATTATAAATATGTTTTTTTTTTATTAAAGTCATAGCAGAAATATTTTTTATATTTAATACCCCCCCCCCACCAATGAAAACTCTACAAATTCGATTGAGTCTACTTTAATGATTACAATAGTTAAAAGCATAAGGCTTTGAGGAATGCAAATAAAGTTTTTTTTTGTTTTTAATTGGACCTCCTCCACTTGAAAATCAGCTCTGAATTGTAACATACAAAACTCAATAAAACAATTATTATATAATTTCAAATGATTTTATTTGCTTTTAGTTCCGATGATACAAAGAGAAAATTTTTTTTTATCAAAATTTAGAATGTTCTGAAAAGAAGGAAAAATTTCTAAAATAATTAAAATAAACTTTGGTCTTTACTCTTCATAATAAAATAAACATTTATACGATAAAAGTTTGTTTTCGTCAAGTTTGGCGTCCTTTTCATCAAGCTATACTCTTTTTTTTAGCAATCTCGTGGAGGTACCTACTTTTAGTAAATGTCAATACAAATTTAGTTGAAAATTGCTACAAGACGTTTTGCTTGATATCTGGATTTAATATTTCTATATTTGGTGAACTCGAGCTGGAATCCAATGTTTCTCTCTGTTTTTAGACGAAGATCTTAGAAAAAATGTTTTGTTCTTTCCTAAAAAATTGCGTGAAATAACGCTAACAACCCGTGACTAGAATTTGAAACCATTTCTTCAGTTTTAATTCAATTTGATTTTCCTAAACGCATTCAAGATTACTTGTCGAGAACGCTACAGACACACCTCTTTATACATACATTGAACCTGTAAGAATTATTTACATTAGCAGCATATGAGAAAAATAATAGACTCATGTGAACAAGTTTTTCTCATTTATTTTACACTTGTTTACCGTCTTAAATCCATTAATAGTGGTTGGGAAATAATAACCATTTTCATACCTTTTATTCTCGTCAAATCATGCTGAATCAGCAACAATCCTCTGTTTCGCATGATATGAGTTAAATAACTTTGCCATGTTTACCTTTGTGCTTTGCCATATAAACCGAATAAATTCAACAAACAAATGTTAGTTACTACATCCGCCATTTCGTGTAACTTTAACATTTATTTTTATGACTATTTTTCTGTCTTCCAGGTTGGAAACATACTGACAATTATTGGTAGCGGTTTCAACCAAACTGCTGCTAATACAGTCACAGTTGGGAGCAGTATATGTGTCGTTGGTTTTGCCAATGCTAACTCTCTCAACTGTACTTTAGGCCATCAAACGGCTGGCATATATCCTGTGACTGTTAATGTCAACGGCAAAGGGCTGACAAATAATCTTATGTTCACCTACCAGCTCTCTCTCTCGGGAATAAGTCCTATTACAGGTAATATTACTATTATGCAAAATCGCATAAATACGAATTCATAATATCACTAACGTTGACATTTAAATAAAAATAAGAAAATAAAGAAAGATTATCAAACGCCTAGTCTGAAAATTCAATCCTTTGTTAATATACTCTATTTTATATCTTCAGATAAATTTGGTAACACTCATGAATAAAAATAGGTTTTGGCCTCGTGACTATAATTGATAAATTACCTTGAGATAAATCTTCAACCCAAAATTTATTCTGTACTAAACTGAACAGTCCATAGTAAAAAGATTTACAAGGAAAACGAAAATTTGATATTTTTTTTTCAACAGGCATTAAAATTTTACTGGCGACTTTCACAAGATATTAAAGTTAATACCGACTTGCAAATCAATCGCAAAAGATTTTTTTTAATTATTAAGTATAATAATTCTAATTCTCATTCTTTTTAATTGCTGCTAGTTGCATGTATCATTTTTGATTATTCTAGGAAGCTTGTTCGGCGGACAACGTTTGACACTAACAGGAAGTGGATTTGATGCCAATCAAACTAAAGTGATGATCTGCTCGCAACAATGCTTAAATCCAGATCCAAACATTCAATCTGACACAACGTTCATCTGTATAACGCCTACTTTGGCCACTAGTGAGTAATTTGGACATTATTCAGTTGTAATATAGTAGAGCCGAAGAAGAAATGCAAAGCAAGCAAATAAATCCAAAATCAGCGAATAAAACAAACGAAAAAATGTTCTTGCAATTAGAAATCTCATTATTTTTCATACATAATACATAAATGAAAAAGAACCCACATGCATACAGTACAAAAAAACAAATATTGTTTAATAATACGGAATTAGGTTTAAACTCTAACTAAAAATTGTCTTAAATATCATACAAAGTATGCCTGAATATCACTGTCGGAGTATAGTTCAGGAAATGTTGACGCTTTTTAAACTCTACGCATACAGGAATTTATAAGAAATGGTCCGACAAAACTGAATACTTAAAATTTATATTATATGAAAAACTAAAGTTGATTCTCGAGACTACAAAATAAATTTGTCTGAACCAGACTTGACTCCAAACTATCCTAAATAAGACACGATTATTATTTCATGTAACTTGAATTGTTAAGAATTTTATCACATGCAAATTATTTAGTGCTTTTAAAAATGTAAATTCACATCATTCTAATATAGATTATTAAATACGTTTAGCAAAATAAATTTTATATCACAGCTATACCGAAATTTCCAACCAGATTTCTAATAAGATTTGAAGGGAACAATTATAAATGCTTTAGAGAATTATATTTGATATAATCAACTATATTGCTTCCTCTATCTGACAGCTTATGGATAAAACATTTTGAATTGACATTACGTTTGAAAGATTGTTTGAATATATTTGTATAAAGGAAATTATTTAAAAAGTTTTCTTTTATGGTTTTTAGACTGGACAACTCAAAATTGTGTTGTGAATGTTTCGGTGGCAGACTTTCATGCCATTAGTACCCAAAGCTATCAATACAGCACCAACAAAACTGCGCATATAACGCGAATTTACCCATCGCGAGGAGGAACAAGAGGTGGAACTAATATTACAATATCTGGAACAGGTTTCAGGTCAGTAATTTTAAAAATTCTATTCGAATGAAACAAAGGATTTTAGTCGGTATCATTAGCAAATTAAATGAATACTTACTATTCTCTTTTACAAATCCTTACCAACTCTTTCCATGTATTTTGATTTCTGGCAATGTCTTGTCTCTCTTCCGAAAGTTTCTCAGCATTGGCAATTTTATAAAAGCATTTTGAGTTTTTCTCTAGGCAATCTTTTGTCTTCGTCCAACTGTAATGAGAAGCGATATTTGTTACCTATGTTTATTAATTCGACACTTAATGGCTTGAAAGTAATTTAGAAAATAGGATTGATTGCGTCAAATAACCATTATTTCAACATGGAAATGGCAAGTGTAAATGGTTTTTTTTAATGTTGATATTGACATGTGCTCCACTATTCAGCAGATATGCTCTGAGGGAGGGAGGGGGTTGTTATAGGATTATCATTTGAAACATTACCTAGTGCTTGTGAAAAATTCCTTTCAATTTTTGATCTCAGTAGATGCATTCTAACAGATCAGCTGAAAACTGATTCTAATTACTGTATAGTTTCCTGTTTCTAATTATGACATGTGCATTTTAAATATTCAAAAACTTTTTATAGATTTTGAAGATGTCGCTCCATTTCAGGTACTACCATTATAAAAATATTGACCCAGTTATTGAACTTCAGATGCTATTGTATCGTAGATTCTTCGTCACAATATGTTGTCTTGCAAAATTGCTCGAATCTAGACTGTTTTTGTTTACCTGTAACAACGACGAAAGTAAGGAGAAATGGATTGTACACCGAAAGGAAATGTTGATTTGGATCAATTCAATGAAAGTCATATATAAGACAGGAAATATCATATTTCATACTCGAAGTTGAACTCTCTTTTACTTGGAGTAGCAACTGTATTCATTATTATCCAACGTTGGTATGATTAGAATACTCCGAAATTTTGTAGTCTTAAAACAAAATGAATGTAATAATTATTATAATTTGTAACACGCTTATAATCATTTTCAGTTCAAACAAAGATGACATCGAAGTAAGCATTGATCAATCAAAATGCACAGTGTTGAAAGCAGAATCAACCAAAATCGTGTGCCAGACAACAGCGCATCTGAATTCGATTACAGCCAAAGTTGAAGTTACAATTAAAGGCCAAGGACTTGCAAACAACGTATGTATTCCTTTAGAGACCCTGCATATGCGTACCAATATACATAAACCCAAAATAATTAGGCTTAAATACAAAATTTGTGAAAAGATAATTTTGAAGAGGTGAGATTTTCTCCACGCTGCATTTTCTCAGCATTTTGGTGGAATAAATTTATTTAAGCTTAAGATTAAAAGAAGCAAAAAAAACCTATTTATATCTCTAGTCATCAGTCACAAGTATTGCTTTTTGAAACTCGATATTATTTTTAGCTTGTATTTATCTCACAGTTATCGTTATTTTCAGACTATGATACAAAACTGAACAAAAATATTGATTTAGTATTTCATACCTAATGTCATTACTTTCTCTTCATCTTAAGACGTTTGCTGACTTCACGTTCATCGATGTTTGGTCATCTCGATCTACATGGGGAAACAATGATCCACCTGGAAAGGGAGAGTTTGTGGTCATTGGTAAAGGACAAAAAGTGCTGCTAGATACTGACACGCCCATTTTGAAGATGTTACTTATTCAAGGTAACATATATACTTTACATATATGATTACTTTTTAAAAATATATATATTATGAACAAAAACTGAAACCAACAATATTCTAACATGTCATCTGGGTGCTTATTTATCTGTCTCGATGTAATGTGAATATCCCGAGAGACAAAGCAATTATATTCGTTAAAATAGTCTAGAACTTATTTAAACCATTTTAGTAGAGTTTACCCACATTTTTATAATAAAATATTACAAGTGTTAGAAATTCCAAAATAAAAGAGGAACAGTAGCTCTTTAGTCCAACATAAGAAAAAGACTGCGCAAAAATTAATGTATTCATGTTTGTTGCTACTACCAAGTTTCTGCTTTTGTACGCATTAGTCTTCTTCTTCAGGCGTCTGTCGATCGGAGTAATTTTCAATGAATTACGAACCGAACCATTTATTTACTGTATAGGTTAAATTATTCTCATTCCGATGTCCATGTCGAAGGGCTATCTTGTCTTACTCCTGATCAGTTATTGGTAGCACAACGACCGAAACTTTGTGATAATGAGAAAGATGAGAACATTAGTCCAAATGTAAATAATAATTTTATTTGTTGAAGAGAAAAATCTGCAAACGCCTCTAGCCTTACTACTAATAGTTTCAATAAAGATATTTATGATAACATAAAAAATCAAATATACTATTAATGTCTTTATTGAAAAGGATTAATATAGCGCATTAAGTTTGAATTATTTGGGGGGGGGTCTGTGCTGTAATGTTTATTTATTGTGCAAAATACACAATTACGACACAAGGTCAAAAAAGTGAGGGGTTGAGGCTGGTCGTCACTAACTATCTTATACCTAGCTAAATCGGATTCACGACCCAATCACTCATTACAATTTGCCCATTCAATAAATCCTCCATATACAATAATACCGCATCCTCACAAGGAGGTCCTACAAAACGCGCTCCATTCCATAAAAATTTAATGATAATGAATAATTATATATAAAAATTTATGATGAAAAAGGAAAGGGGAGGGAATAAACTCCAAAACAAACTAAACATAAACACAAAATCAACTAAACATAAGTGATGCTAGTAGGGCCCGTCCAACCCTCAAAAAAACTCAGAGGCCGCTGTATTCTGTCCATGGGACAAAATCAAGAAGCTCTCACACTAAGGTGAAAATATAGACGGGCGTGTGGAATAAAAAGCTGACCCAGTCGAGATTGGGGAGGTTGGGTATCTCGACTTGGATCATAACCAAAGAGGCTGCCGGGAACAGGCCAGGAACAACATTTACTCACATTAACTAGGTACACAAAAGTTTGTCTAACCTAACCAAGGGGAGGGCTTCGCAGGAAACCATCCCGATGTGACGTAGGTTGATCTAAAAGAGAAAATCAAGGCTAGCCCCGTTCAAACGAACCAAGCTCGCCTCAGTCAGCCATCTTTCGCTGAAGACTATTGAATGCAAGCGCTTTCTATCAGTTCTAATCTTCATCCTGAGCTGATGCTCAAAGAATTGGATTAGATCCTGATGAGAAAGACGATTGCCTCGGAAGACTTCCTTCATTCGCATCGTCCAAATCATCATTCGGGCCGTGGCCAGCAGCGTGAGAAACATCATCCGTTTCACCCCAGAAAACGGGGGCAACACATTGTCACACGCATATGCGCGATCAATGAGCACGAGCCTTTCGGGAGCGAGACGAGTCGTCAACTCGCTGACATGGTCCCATAAGTAAGCCGTTTCCTCTAAACCAAGGTCAAACCGTTCACAGTCTGGCAAATCTGCCAAGCCCCATATGAAGACCATGTCATTGAGAGGCAGCCAATTCCGAGCCAATCGCCAGGTAAGCGAAAACTCAGGGTTAATGAGATAATCCGCCGCTAGCGCCCAAGACCAGAAAGAGCGAAACTCCTCCTCCGACAAGTCGAGCCGCTCACGTTGATGATCCTTCGCAACCCCCTCCACTAAATAACGATAGAAGACCTTCCTAAGCTGAGAAAAGTCACTGGACCAAGGAACATCTGTGCTATAATGACTGTACAATGGCGGGAAGAGATTGCTCTGCTATTCTTAAGTAGATTTGACTCACTCTCCATAACATTTTTTTTCTTTTTCAATTTCTGACCCGAACAAGAAGTTATAACTTCCTTTCCTCTATTGCTGAATAGTAAATTCACGTAGCTTGTAAATGAAAATAGAAATTCTAATTTTCTATTTGATGCTGACCCATAATACCTTCGGATTGATTTGAACAAAAAACAAAATCTCATTTGTATGTCAGCGATATGTTAATAGATTGATTGTTCTGCTTTAACAACATATCAACTCTGCTGAAAAGATTTTATTTAATATACGGCTTGTAAACAATCATTTGGGGAGTTGATTTTGTCACTCTCTAGTTATTTGTTTAGAACGGAGTTATTTTGTAGTATAGACCAACCTCCTTCAAGTAGGCTAATCCCGACTTTTAGCTTCTTGAAGAGGTATTCAGTAAAACGTTAACGTATATGGACAAGGTCACTACAGTTGGTTAGAATATGTTACACTATACGCCTCCTGACATGCTGTGCATTCAAGAGGATTTTTTTTAGGAGAAATGAGTGAGTGAGAGGATGATTTCTTTCTTCAGAGAATGTCTGATACCATGATGTAATTATCCTAGGATGCTTTTAATTTTGTAAAGTTTGATGTATGGTTAGTATTTCCGTAACTTTTCCCACCTTTTTAGAATGTATGAGTTGATAGTTGCTTGGTAGTTTGTTTTGGGGATTTTCAAAAGTGAAATGTCCATGCTTAGGGCTTCTTTTGCTGCCATGTCAGCTTTTCCATTTACGTGGATGCTGATATGGCTGAGTGCCTAAAAGAAAACAAGTTTTTGTTTTGTTTTTTGTTTTCTTGAAGCTAAGATTGATCCTGTTTAGTAATTTAACTATTAAAGGATTTTGTCAGCGATATGTCAAGTTAAATAAACAACTTTATACTTAATTTTGGAAAACTTCAATTTACCCATTTTACTTGTATTTGAGTAAGTTTAATGTCTCATTAAATTCAAATTAAACAGAAACATCCCAAAATATGATAATTTGCTTATTTGATATTTTCATAAAATCAAGCTATTTTCATTGCTTATTAAAGTGAATACACATTAATACGACTACTCTTATTAATATATATACTTTCATACTGCTACTAATTCACCATAATAGTATGAAGTAATTATATCATTAATAGTATCAGACGAAGAAAATTGTAGATAGTTGAATTTGAAAACCCTTTTCTTGGACGTCAATGGTCATTGTCTAAAAGTGACCACACCAAATTAATGTACCAGAGATGAACAAGACATATGGGTGTAATGCAATAATAGATTGTTGTTATAAACATCATCTTAATTAGCGTTTAGCCTTCCCTTGTTGGATAATCCATTTTTATTTGCTTTTATCATTCTCATTACTGTTTTAGGTGGAACACTTGAATTTGAAGAGAAAGATATTGAACTAAATGCAGAAAACATCTTGATCACTGACGGTGGAAGATTTCAGGTATGATAGCAAGGAACACAATAAAACATCAAGATGGATATTAGAAAAACTTGGAAAATTAAACTGTTTTAAAGTACTGATCATCCGACATTTTAAGCTCCTATCATTTTCTGATAGCGATCCACGGAGATAAAGACAAAGAGTTCTCAATACATTCTCTGATGTCTCTATTTGAAGCATCACATATATAATAGTATTTATAATAAACCCAACCAGAAGGAAAATTCTAACAAAAACATTAAGGTCGATCGATCTGTGATACAAAGTTAATGAAAATCAGTAATATTCGTTAGATATCAGTGTTACTTTCATCCATAATGCTTTTGGGCTTTTCTTTCTCAATTTCATGGTTAATGGGTTCAAAATTACTGCGAACTCGTCACAAATAAATGAATAACTGACGCTAGACAAGATACTTTCATTGGGAACATAAAATTACTTCGGCTTTTTGTAGATATACGCTCGTTTTCATAGACATTGTTATATTTATGGTGTAAACACAAAGGGGTGTAATGTGAACGAGAAGATTAAAACAATCTGAAAAAAAAGTCTACCTTTCATGAAAAATTGGCATGCGAAAAACCTCGAAAGCTGACCAGTGACGTCAGTGAAAAGTATACAAATACTTTCATCGTGAAACAGGTTATGATTATAAAGTTTTGATATTATTAGCTAACGTGCAGTTGTGTGTGTGTGTGTGTGTGTGTGTGTGTGTGTGTGTGTGTGTGTGTGTGTGTGTGTGTATAAACATGTATACCTAAGATGAATTCATGTTACACCTTCACAAGACAGAAAATGCACTAAATATTTATTTATATTTTAGAACATCATCATATATTAAAAAAAAAAATTGGACCATGTCTCTCTCATACTCAAATTCAACAACAAATGTCAAATAATATTTTACATAAAAAGCATATATTTTTAGACACATTTTCCAATTTGAAAATCACGTGTTTCTTTATATTTTTATATTTAATATTTTTAACTGCACCGACGTAATACATTTCAGTGCATTGATGGCCTCTTTAGAATGAACAGGAATGTGTAATTTCTTGGGATTGAAATAAAATAACTAGTTTTAAAGCTAAAGAAAATGCATGGGAAGATGGGATTTATATTAATAGCATTTGTAATAGTTGGACCTCTTTCAGCGAAGTATGTTCCGTGTACTTTGGCAAAATGTGCCGAATAGGTTGATAAAATGCAAAATCCATTTTACTAAAATTTGAATCTCCATTTGTGAAAATGATGTAATAAAATAGTAAACTTAATTTGCTAATATAATAAATATATTTTTCAAATTTATTTCATAAATCAATTTGGAATTTAGTATTTTTCTTGTTGCTATTATTCGATCGTCTTAATTAGGATAATTGAGCCTTGATTTGCTGTAATGACTTCTCTTTTACAAATTAAAAATGGAATTCAGGTTAGATTCTTGTCGGGAGGCACATTTTCGTAAGACTTTCCATCTTCAGGCTGTTAACCATTTATTTCACTGTTTAAAAACAAATGTTTGCTTAAACATGTGTAACCACAAAATATATCGCTTTTAGCAATCAGAATTTATTCGGTATTTGCGAATTTGAATTGTAATATGATTTACGACTGCGGTGACCATGGCTCATCCTTGTCGTTTTTGTTTTTAGTAATGTTATTTATTTAATCTAGTGCGATGGTTAACAAGCTTTCCAATTCCTTAGTATGACTAGTTTGATCCTCAAATTGTGTTTCACTAATTATAAACGTTAGTTATATCTTCCTCTTAATTCTGGTTAAATATACCAGATCTGGAATAAATATTTAGCAAAATACTCAATGAAAATTAAGTTCTATGTCTTCCAAGAATAATAATTTCTATTGTTTCATTTATATCCTATATCGTTTCAAAAACATACATACGTTCGTCAAAAAGTACATCGTCTAATGAAGAAAAATACTGATTTTTCAGAACGAGTAATCCAGGCAACTCTCACACTAAGCAATTATTGATCCGCTCTCGGTTTTTAGGCAAATTTGCTATCGATGTATTCACCTGTTCATAACTTACTTAATATATCTTATAATCAAATATCACATTTCATTGTCTAATATAATTATCAAAATTTCAAACGGTTACTAAGGGCCAATACATTCAACTTACTCGTCGCCTTTTATACAATTTTCTCGTAGTATTCTTGGCATATCTCTCTACCTTCTTCTGAATCTTCATCTGTTTTCAGCCCTTCTGGATCTATCAGGTCATCCCATAAGTTCTGTCTGAATTTTGAATAAAGAAAACAAGTGACCAAATGTTACATTTAATTACAGATTCAAACAACAATGTATTTTCCCTGATTATCTATGACTTCCTTCCATCTATTAACAAGCTTACTAATTCCATTACTGTAAAATTCTTTTGGCTTTGATTCGAATAACTCACAAATGTCAGTTTTAACCTCTTCCTGTGTTACAAAAGCTGTTTCTTCCAAATGATTCTATAAGCTACGAAACAAATGGTAGTCTGAAGGAGCAAGATCGGGAGAATGAGGTGGATGATCTTTTGTGACGTGATTCTTGCTGTGTAGGGTCGCGCATTGTCCTGATGAAACATCACCTCTTTTCATTAGTGCAGGTCTTTTTTTCCTCAAAACTTGGTTCAAACGCTCTATTTGCTGACAGTATATTTGAGCATTAATTGTTGCATTAGGTGGTAAGAATTCAAAGTAGATTATTCCTTGGCGATCCCACCAGATTGAAGGAAGAACCTTTTGCCCATGAAGTTCCATTCTCGGTTGTGGCTGGGGTCCTTCCCCTTTACCAAGCCACTGTCTACGACGCTTAACATTTCGATAAAAGATCCATTTTTCGTCGCCAGTCACAAATCTATCCAAAAAAGGTGAAAGTTATATTTGACTTAACGGAATAATTCAAATATAACTTACCTCATTCCACATCCTTGTTTATTTCCGACAGGTTGGTTCTGAAAAGAATCCTTTTCAACACAAAGCAGTCATAACTTTGTATGGAAATCTACGTGCTAAGGAGCTGCCTATCTATGGAGCTAAAACTTTAGCCGTAAGGGAAGGAATACTTGATCTTCACGGTAAGTAACCATTAAATTTTAAACCCCAAGAGTAAATATTCTTGCAATGTGAAAAGATTCCTCATTTCGTTTGTTAAATTTATTTGATATACTTAAATGCAATGCAACTGGTTAGCTTGATCGAATGCTTAATACTTGTTTCATCAGCTGTTATTTTTGTTGATTATAAATTAATTGAGATGGCATATCGTTTCAAACCCAGTGTTTTCGCTTGGTTTACATTCTCTCTGATCATATATCTTCAAACTTTCAACTACTTATTCTGATATGTATTGGAAATACTAAAATTCCCATTAAAAATACAATGAAAATTCATGCATGCTAATAACCTGTTTCAGGTTTTAATATTTATTTTTAAAAAGACGAATTATCATGCTCTGAGGCAAAGTTTGAATTTATATTTGAAAATATCAGCAGATATATGTTTATTCTTTTACTTTCTCTGACTCCGGAACAAATGAAAAATTACACCTTTGAATATAAATTCACGAGAAAACAATTTCTAAATATTTTTTAACGTTTCTCTAAACTGAGTGAATGAATACTTGCATTATTTAGATTACTCGGACTGTTATCCTCATCTTCATTATTATAATACCTCATCTCGGAGATATAGACAAATATTGAGTGCATGAAATATTTTAAATAATGTAATGTCTTTTAGCATGAGTATATCCCAAAAATTGTCAAAAAATATAATCATGCATTTATAAAAAAAAATCTCTTTGACAGTAACGTGCACATTATTTTAAAATTCAAATATTTCAAGAGTGAACAAATTTAAATAAAATTTCTTCATGGGAAGAAGTCATCAGTTTTGTCCGTAGCACAGCCATACAACGTTCAAATGCACAGGATTCATGCCGTATTTAACATTTTGTTGTTGCTGCTCTTTTTATAAGTAAATGTACAAAATAAATTCTTACATAGCGTGTGTCCATTGTAGAAAGTTCTTTTGTTAATATAGATATTGCCTTCAAATGAAATATATTCACATTCAAGATAGATAACGCAAAAATTCGACGCGATTTATTTCCTGTGTATGTCTCGATTTAGCCATCCCCTTGCATGGGGTCCGAGATTTTATTTACTACATATTAACAAGTAAATGAAAGTTAGGAGCGATGCAGTTTAAATACTAACTTCTAACATGTACCATGTCCGTTCAGAATGTTTGCTCTCCACAACTTCCTATGCTTTGTCACTTTTAGCAATGTTTGTCTCCTCATTATCCCTATCAGTCCCTGTGTTCTGCTATCAATTTACACAAGCTCGTTAGTTATACACCGTTTTCCTCTGTCTCTCTTGCCTTCAATATGTCCTGTGAATGTTAAATTCTCAAAGCGCTCTTTCCATTTTTAAATACAAGCGTCCTTTCTGTTTACATCTATACAATACTAAAAGTTTGTGATTTCATGCGTGGTTGTGTGGTGTGTCCGTCAGGTGAATAATTATTTACGAGTTGTTTTATACAGTAATTATTTTTATTTTAACTTTCTTCAAATAGACAATTTTTTTAATTAAAATATTTTAAAGTTAAAGACAGACACAGAAATCCCGCGTTGCTGTTTCGTCCAGTAGAGTAATTAATTATAACTTTCTTTAAACAAACAATATTTTAAATATTTAAAAAATATTTTTGGCATAGTTAAAACTATTTTCCAGTGAATATGATTTTAAAATATTAAGTTAATCTGACTTAAAGTTCAAGTTTATCCCTGAAGTTCTATTCCTAATAAATGTTGTAAACAATCAGTAAAACATTAAGCATGAACTTGTAAACCATACTAATGTTGACACGAATGAATTGAAATATTAAACTGAAATATAATAAAATTAATTTAATTTCAATGGAATGTTGAAATCAACTTCAATATTTTATAACTTGAACCGTATTTTTTTTTTTGTTTCATTTCATTCCGAACGATGTTTTCCTGATTCTTGACATTTTATTTAACTTTTGAATGGCATGATTCGCCATTTCAGTGCGCAAAACATCAGATACTTAAATTTTTGTACCCGTTTGATTTTGGCATCTGCAAATCGTGGCTCAAATCTTGGGCTATTTTTCTTGCTAACGTCCATACATTCTGTCTTCTTACAATTGATAATTTCTTCTCGCTTTCCTTTACAACCTTCTTTAAGAGTTCCTGTGTTTGCCGTCAATAGCGTGTCTTCAGCGTATCATTGGGCTCACAAATAAATGTTGATAGAGACTTCTCGTTCTCTTCAAATCTCCTCACTGTAACCGTTAAATAAATCCGGTAAGAATTCGCATCCTTGTCTTACTATGGTGGCGTAGCCTGGGAACGGCCTGCTGCCTTTAGTCAGGATTGATCCTGGTATCGGAGAACAAGCCGTCAGCCCACACTCGTCGGTCGTTGGTGGCGTTTGACACAGCAGCTGGTCTTTAAGTTGACCTCTTCAACTATGACCTCTCTTACCCACGTTGTGATTTTTGATCTTAAGAGTGTCAAGCTGAATTATTACTGGGGTATCTCAACCAAGCTAAACCAAGGACTTGAATAGGCACACACAAAATTGAAAATAAAACAAACGGCGCCCGAATATGTCACTAGATGATATTTATATCAAAATAAAAAATATATATAGAGAGAGAGAGTTCTTTTTTCTTTTTCTTCTTTTCCCAACACATTTCTAATATTTGGCGACGGAACGAAAATTTCGGTTAACTTCTCTAAAGGTGGCCAGACTTGACAACTGCATTTAACTTCGAGTACTGTTGTTTGTACTTTCCAGGACGGCACATGGTTATCGTCGGAGTTTTTCTTCAGCAACAGATTATTATTATTATTAGGTTGACAAAACAGCGTAATGGCAGAAGTCACTTAAATCTCCGTCCGCAACTTCAACTACCCCAACTGTCTCCAACTAACTTTAGCCCTCATATTTATGGGTGTTCCTTCCAACTGATGTGATGTGGGCAAATAGGTGGGTTTTATGCAAATCTCCTAAAATTCAACCAGTCTCCTTCTTTCGTTTTCTGTTTCACACTTCCAATTTTGGAAGATCTCTTCCTCTTTCGGGAGGAGCCATTATATGACGTCAGCCTTCCTGACGTCATCTTCTGCCTTTAGAATTACTCATTCTGTTTTCACAATTATAATTTTTTCTCAGAGAAATTTTGGCTGACAATTTTCCCAGTACGTGGACATTGCCACCTTCCAACACACGATTTTAACCTCTGGCCCTTAAACATACCAGCTGTGTTTCGCTGAATAGTAACAATCGTTTTGTGTAACATTTTTTCCAACAAAATTCATGCATCTGTTCTCAATGCCATGGGAAAATAAATCTTTTTCTGATAAAAAAATAAAATAAAATCGTTTTCTTTAACCCTTTTCATCCGTACGCCATGTTAAATATTGTCACATCTCTCCCTTCACCTATCCTGTTATTTACCCGTAAATGACATTTCAAACTCCAATACACTGTTTAACATGCGCTACTTTTCATGCACTATTTCTCATGCACCGTTTCCATGCACTATAAAATCTTTCACATGCAATTTGAAAAGTTCTCTTTTCTTCTTCTGCGTATATCTGCAGTTTAAAAAAGTAAGTATGTGTGTATGTGAGTGTGTTTATTTATTTATCTTTATTTTATGGCCTGTTTTTCTTAGTCATTATTCTTTTCAGTACAACAAGGGGTGTTGGTTTGTTTTCGACAGGCGTTGACTGTACTTCTGCTTTGTTCGTCGAAGTCAACGCAACTTCTTCATCTTGGGTTGGTCTGGTTGGACAATGAACACCCTTCCCAGGTGTTGTACACCTACCAGAGTACCATCAACCGACTTCCTTCTATATCTATTAAATTTCCATATTGCTGCTACTATTACAGCAACAAGTATCAAAGTACCTATCACCGCTGAGCAATTTATTATAATTTTCTTACTATCCTCCCAAGCCATACCTCCTTTTCCCAACATCTTTAGTTGGTCTTTTAACTGATTCATATTTATCCTCTCTACAGGTTCCAATAATACTGGCATCTGTTTTAACGTAATGTTAGGGAATTTATTTACTATTGGGTTCCACACTTCCGTGTAACTGTCCAAACTTCTGTTAATCAATTCTACAACTGAATCCTTTTCCTCATATTTCTCTTCCCTCTGGTAATATGGAGGCAGGGAGACGGACACTCCAAATGCTGAGCATCCCAGGGGCAAGTTTACTAAGGATAGTGGCGGCTTTATTTTTATTGTCCCAGTGGATTCCCCTCTACATACCATAGACAGTCTAATTGATTTCTGTACTGCCACAGCCCACACAACATCGGATAGACTGATAGCCTCCTGGTAGCATTGTTTTTGTTAACACTTCTACTTGACAATTCCTCTTAATTCCTTCTCTTTTATCTTCAAACAACTCCAGTACACATATCCTGTGGTTACCTGTCACATAAATGGGACTTAATGAGGTACAGATTCCAAGGCACTGTTCTTACACCTTCTCGCTTCGTCCAGCTACTCTTCTTCTCCTGAATAATTCTGTGCTACTTTTACCCTTGCTATTCCCAGCTTCCCTTTCTCATTCCTCAGTTTGTTCAGTAACAACTCGTATGGATGTAAATCTATCACAAAAGTGACTACCCATTTCGATCTTGTGATTATCACTTCACTTGTCTTCTTAAATATTGTACTTCCGCTGTGTCTCCAAGCTTCTATCTTCATCATCATCATCATCATCATCTTTCATCAGAAGTATTGGTCCCTACATTTTGGCCATTCCTGCAAGCGTAACAAGATTTTCTTGTTTTTATTCGCCTAACCACTCATTATTCAAATTAGTTCTTTACTTAATTATTTCGAAGCGCTCTCACTGCGTTTCTCCCTTACTGACTCTTCTAGCTTCCAATTTCATACCCGTTCTTTCTTTAATTAACTTTTAGTAAGATGATTGGTTCAGACAAGTGCGCGGCGCCTTTGTCCCAGAGGTCATGCCTCATCGATACTACCGCCGGCCGGTCGGTAGCACCGA